CGAAAAAATAGGGTAGGTAGGTAGGGAAAACATTTTATTTTCTTGAAATATTGTATTTACGAACCATGTCCGAAGGATGTGCGTTGTGCCTTTTGAAGCAGGAACTGTCCAATTCTAGTTTTTTTTTTTACTTTAAGAAATTGACAATAAAATGTTTAGGGTCGCTGGGAATAAATAGGGTCGGTCGGGAAACCGTAACCACACCTATATTTTGTTTTGGCCTTATAGCTGTCCACGTGATGGTAACGATGTCTCGCAATGTTCTTAGCAGCGTTTATTTCTGAATCTTAGTGAGATTTATTACTCAACAGCATTTAATTCTTAGCTGTTATTCATAGTTGCATTTATCGGCAAGGTGTCGAACACGAAATGTTGTTCATATTCTCATGTTCATAGCGGCGTGCTCACAAATTTTTTTAACAGAACCGTCTTTCGTTTTCGTGTTTTCGCGCAGGCAACGTCAACGACAGTATATCCACGATTCGCGATTACGAAGAACACTTCTTTAGAAACTCGAAGCTGTTCAAGTGAGTGTTTATTTTGTGTCGACCATTAGCAATGTAAGAGAATGGCTCATAATATTAATGTAGTGGCTTATACAGATATCATATGTTATGACGTGTTATATTAGGTACAGTCGATCAGGTGATTATATATAGACACACACACATATATATATATATATATATATATATATATATATTGTCACGTAAGTACTGTATTAGATATAGCCGATATTATTGATATATATATTCTACAAATATTACATATAATACTATGCAAATACTATATGTAAACAACATAATTATGCGTCATATTATATTATACATGGCTGATCGCTCGATGTGCATGCATCTGCTACACAGGGGGCTGAACTTCCGCGCGGCGCAGCTAACTACGGCCAATATGAGCATGGCCGTGTCCGAGTGCTTCTGGAAGATGGTGAAGGAGTCCGTCGAACAGCAGGCGGACGCGTTCAAAGGTAACGACGAAGCCAACTCTAGGGTGCAGAGGTAGAGTGAGGGTAGTTTACTTTAGTAGGGCTGAAGGGGTCGTTGTCGTATCAGGTACTACAGATATGTACCCGAGGTACATATATGTATACACAAAGTGTACCAGACTTGTACTACAGAGGTGTACCCTAACCCTAACCCTAACACTAACCCTAAACATACCTCATATAAAAAAATAAACATAATACTAAACAACCTAAAACTACCTCGGGTACATATCTGTAGTACCTGATACGACAACGACCCCATCTGCCTTAGTAATTAACCTAGTAAGTAACATGGATGCGGAGGCAGTCGTAACTAAGCCGAAGTGGTGACGGCATGAGGGCAGATTCCGACTGCCGTCTCGCCAGCGCTCGTCGTTAATGCATCGTTAGTCTATGCTAATGAAGACCATCTCTGTTGCAGCAACTCGATTCAACCTGGAGACGGAATGGAAGAATAACTTCCCCCGAGTGCGGGAGCTCGACAGGGTGAGTTCGGAATCTTGTCGACAACCTTTCGCCGAATAATTCACGTTTTTTGGATTATCTCCTATTCGCTCGGTGTTTTGTTCTTACGCTGTTATCACTGTACACTGTCGACGTCTCGTCTCTCGTGCGCAATGTGTAAAGGTCCGATCTATGAGAAAAAGGCTAATTCGTGTTAAGACTAATCGTGTTTCTAACGATGTGCTGCTGGTTCTGATGGTGGGTTGGTGCTAATGTTAGGACTAACGTTAAGACCAATCGTGTTTCTTACAACACGCTGCCCCCGCGTCCATCCTGCTAATCAACGAGACAACCTTCCCCTCCTCTCCCTTCTCCCCAGTCCTGGGTTGAGTCCCTAGTCAAGTTAATGTTAGAACTAACGTTAAAACCAATCTTGTTTGAAGTTTCTGACAATGTGTGGCCCCTCATCCCTCCGCGAAGGGACAATAATACCTCCCCCCCTCCTCTTGCGCAGCCCTTTGCAGAGATGCCAACCACTACGATTCATCCGTATTTTATACGAATTTATATTCCTTTTGCACCACTACGACCAGTTTGTATCAAACTACGAATTTCACTGTAAAAAAAAAAATTGTTTTTTTTTGTCATTTTTTGTCAATTTATTGTCATTATTGACCTCAGAAGGCAGGAAATTGCATCTCAGAATTAAAAAAATTTCTGGGGGGCATGCCGGACCTCCCTAGCAAACTCGGGTCACTACGTGACCCTCGAACTACTAATTTGATGGCCAGAAACTACAGATTGCTTCAAATATGTGTTGGCATCTCTGCCTTTGTCCCGTCTGCGAATCAATGAGAAAACCTTCTCCCCTTCCTCTCCTCCCCCAGGACGAGCTGTTTGAGAAGGCGCGCGGGGAGGTTCTGGACGAGATCATCAACCTGAGCCTCGTGACGCCGCGCGAGTGGGAGGAGGCGTTCTACGCGCAGCTGTGGAAGCAGGTGTCCACCTACGTGTTTGAGAACATCTACGTGCCGGCGTCGCAGGCCGACAGTCACGGGTGAGTCCACGGGTGAAGCCAGCGCACGCGCGTTATAGAGGGAGGAGGGAGGAGGGAGGAGGCGTTCTACGCACAGCTGTGGAAGCAGGTGTCCACCTACGTGTTTTAGAACATCTACGTGACGGCGTCGCAGGCCGACAGTCACGGGTGAGTCCACGGGTGAAGCCAGCGCGCGCGTTATGGAGGGAGGAGGGAGGAGGGAGGAGGCGTTCTACGCGCAGCTGTGGAAGCAGGTGTCCACCTACGTGTTTGAGAACATCTACGTGCCGGCGTCGCAGGCCGACAGT